GAAATACATGATATGTGAAAACAATGTCTATCTGAAATACATGATTTATGAAAACAATGTTCATCTGAAAAACAATATTTATTAAAACAATGTCCATCTGAAATACAATTTATGAAAACGTTTTTCTACTGAAATACATGATTTATGAAAACAATGTGCATCTGAAACACATGATTTATGATAACAATGTAGAGAGAGTATAGGCTACTATATGGCAAAAAATTTGATTTATTGCCCCTCATAAACCCCCCTCCACCTACCATAAATGGACACCTGTTTGGACACCTGTTTCTGTACACCCCCACCCATCTAACCTGGCCATCTCTTTATCCACCCCAATGATCCCATGGAATTTATGATTGTTTTGGAAAGTGTTTTTGTGTGGGTTCATTGAAACTGTTTTTAACTATATGCTTTAAAGTTTTAATTGTGAAACGTGGTATGATTATTAAACGGGGATAAGGGAAGTTTTTATTAAAGTTTTCACACACACACATACATTTCAAGAAAAACATCAAACTATATAAAAAATATATAAACAATGTAATGTCTGTGTTTCCAGAAAAGAGTAAAAACGGGGTCAAGACGAATATTTAAGTGTTGTTAATTTAAAAAACTAGTTAGAGTTTGTTACAAGTTAGAAAATAAAATGAAAACTAGGCCGCTATCCATCTATCTAAACAAAACAAAAAAAAGAGAAAAGTATCAGATAGTTCGTTAAACAATACGGCAGTTTTTCTGTTACAATTTAAAAACTATTTAGAGTTTGTTACCATCCATTGTAGTTATTTTATGATGTGCACTTGCAAAAGTTTAAAGTAAAGTTAAAAGTTCGGTCAAAGGATGTGCACCCTATTGAACTTTTTAACCTCAAACATCTGGTTAGGTTAAGAAGAAAAACAGGAATGTTAATACCCTAATGTAGATCTGGTGGATGTGATTTCACATAGGTTCCGGATACACTTAGATACCTTAGAACCTAAGACAACCAACAAACTTAAATAGTTTGGTGCAAAGGTGTTTGTTTTAACAAAAGGTCTATGATGTAGCGAAATCTTTTTAACCTCAAACATCTGGTTAGGTTAAGAAGAAAAACAGGAATGTTAATAGCCTAATGTAGGTGGATGTGATTTCACAGAGGTTCCGGATACACTTAGATAGATAGAGAAAAGACCATAACAACAAACTTAAATAGTTTGGTGCAAAGGTGTTTGTTTTAACAAAAGGTCTATGATGTAGCGAAATTGTGTTCCATTTTACTTCATTTTAGTTCAATTTGTTATCTTTATTCACTCCGATTTTGTCATGTTTAAAACGTACGCGCGCACACACACACACACACACACACACAAACAAACAAGCAATTACGAGTTATACCTAATACAAACAAGAGAATATATCTCTTTGATTTTCCAACGTGAGACTTACATCAGACCTACTTCAAACGATCATTTGAGCGTATGGTTTACAAGGTGTGAGAGCGATAAACAGATATCCACACTTTGATTTTTCGGAGGTTAAAAACACCCGTTGCATTCAAACATGTGTAGATAAGGATATATCTAACGCTCTCAAGATGAAAGTCTATGGCTACGGCCCAGGATACCCCCCCTGCTGGTTGTTATCGGATTTTACGCTGAGTTCTAAGGAGCCGCCCCCCCACACTACAAACAGTTAAAAAGCAAAAGTTGTACAACGTTCATTAGGCCTACCCGTAACTCTATCTTCACGGTGTACAATATTAATTATCTCATCAATCGACGGAACAATGGCTGACAATTACGATGGTAAGTGTGTTTTTCATCGGTGTTATTTAAATATATTTAAACGTGAATATTTGTTTTACATCCTGTGTTTATAAACTCTAGGTACTTTTGAGAATCTGGATTTCGACGAAGGCTTGGAACAGATCCTTGAACAACTATGTAAGTATTTTCTCTTTTTCTATTAACTACTCAATGTCTAATAATAGCAATAATGATAATAATAATCGTTATCATTTTACCCCACCAGTTGACGAGGCCCAATTAGTTACCTGTGATGATGACTGCGATGTTAATAACGGTACATATACAGACGTGTTAAAAGTTTCAGTTTCTCATAAAGTGTTTACAAAATTTTGACAGGTGAACATGTTGGTTCTGACAGCCACGTGGTAATATTACCTACAGAGGAGGCATTGCAAGAGGTTGTAGTTAGGTCGGAATCACGTCACGAGACAAACAACGTCACACGAACCACCCCCGAGCGCGTTACGTCTTCAGAGGAAGGATCTCACAAGCTCACCACCAGCACGAGCGATCACACCCCTGCCGCATCCAGCTCCCCAATGCCGCGATTGAGGCCTCAGCATACAGGCGGTCAGGGTGTGAAACGCTTGAGGTTACAGGAGCAGGATACGGATGACTCCCCGACCACCAGCCATTTAAGGACTTCAGAGAATAACGGTATGTAAAACAAAAAATCTCATTATTGCGTTTTATGTTTGATTTTATTAGTTAATTAATAAATGGTTATTGTTATTTTTACAGAACAAGGCTGCTATGAGAGAGACCTAACAGCGTGGTCTGATTCGATGATCCATGCGTGGGATCAGATATCCTTCACCGATACGGAGAGTGAGGAAGAGCAGGCGGAATTACCACATGAAATACCTCAGGAACTGTTCCGTGAGCGTGATTTAAATAGAAGACTTGATTATGATATGCTGTGCCATGTTAATCGGTACTTTGAGAGACTTTTCGACTTGGCTGGACAACCCCTATCTTACAGGGAAGCAGAAGACATTGTTGTTAGCGCACAAAGTGATGTGTTGGCGATTTTAAGAAACATCATAGCGTGTCAACAGCAACATAACGAAGCTTTACATCACGCAGCTGAATTTTGGAGAAATTGTCACGATCAGCTGTATAATGAATTCCACCAGTTTCAGCAGACCATGAGCGGTGTACCGGAAGCGATAAACCAGCAGAACGCCGAGCAAAGGCTTGTGGTAAACGCTTTATCTCTTATGGGTGAACGTTTAAACCTTATTCAGAGAATGTTAACAGATTTGTACAATCGTATGGGGAGATAGGACGTAATATTCTATGTATTGAATTGCTGCTTGTTTTTGTTTCTGTGTTATTGACATCATTTTTTATTAGTATAGGTTATTTCACACATTTATTATTGTTTGTTATTTCTTACATTTATTATTGTTTGCCATCGATTTATTGTTGTTTTATGCTTATTATTGAGGTTTGTTTCTGATACTATTTTACTTGTGGAAGAAAACGGTGGTTTCAAATTTATACTGTACATGTTTTGTTTTTGTTATATCTGGTTATGTCACATTGCAAACGTTGATGGTATTTTCAGGGGGTGCACACGCTTGAGTTTAAGCTTAAAATGTTTGTATTTCTGATTTAAAAATAAAAGTAATAATAATTCAAAATGAGCAGTAAAAGATGTCACGGTGATTTACATGACCACACTTGATTTAAAAATAAAAGTAATAATAATTCAAAATGAGCAGTAAAAGATGTCCCGGTGATTTACATGACCACACTTCAGAAGGCCTAGACATGATTTTCAAAACAATAGTGATCAATTACGCGAGTTGATTAATAACCAATTACAGATGTTACAGCCTGACTCACTTAACATGATGGAAAGATTACACAAACTTGTAGACGAACAACATGAATGGTTGGGCACATCTATAAACAACAATGAACAGGTCGGTGCAGGTCCTTCTAATGACGACCCGTCAGGTTATGACCCAGCAGCACCAGATATGGGTCTCAGCCAGAATTGTATAGATAGCCTAGTAAGAGAGGGTGGTCGTGTGCGTGATTTTACAATTGTCCCAAGACCGAGATTTAACGGTTTAGAAATTCACAGAACTTTACATTTTCGTGAAATCGCCACTGATGATTATGCTGCCTATAATATCTTTTTGCAAGATATTTTGAATGAGATTGTAGCGTTTTCCATATTGATGGCGGTTGAAGATGTTTTTCTGAACATATCTCTGCAAGGAGTAAGTCTCCCCACAGATATTAATGCTGTTCTAACCCCTAAAAATAATCACGACGTTGGTATATTTGTTGATCAAATCGAACGTGCTGTTCAAAGCAATACAGACGTGGGTTTAGATTCTGCTTTAGAGTTATGCGTAACCGTGGCACGAAACAAACAAGGCGGTGTGCGTAGGAAGTTAGCCGACCTGGCTTACAATACGGTTATAAGAAAAAATAGGATGAATTTATTAATCCCTGAAAATATAGCAGACAATATGTGTTTTAGCATATGCATCGCTCATTTTGTCCGACAGAGATTTGGTGAAAATAGCTAAAACATACATACAGATCTGGGTTACGACCCACAAGATAAAATTGTGTTGCATGATACTTTTAAATTTGAAGAATTTCTAGATCTGAAAATAGTAATCTTTCACAGATCGTGTTCAGGTAAATTGGAGGTATATAAAAATACAGAGGAGCTACATCACAAGACGATACATTTATATCTGCACGAAGATCATTACTACATGATAAAAAATTTGAAGGCATTCTTAGGTTACAACTATGTTTGTGAGTACTGCTATAAAGGGTTTAATGATCGTACTTTAAATTATTGCAAATTTACGTGCAACGTGTGCAACGACACTCAGTGCTACACACATCCTAAAAAATCGGTACAATGCACTGATTGTTTGAGATATTGTAGATCTGACTTCTGTTATGATATGCATAAACAACCACAATGTGAAGGGGTGAGATCTCAGTGCGATCTCGTAAAATACTGCGACAAATGTTACAGACAGTACAGAGCAAAATGGTCAGGTGATAAACTATTAGCGCACAAATGTGCACCATCGAGATGTGTGCATTGTGGCGATGTTCTGATAGATGAAGGGGATCACAGTTGCTATATTGAACCTGTCAAACCTGCCGAACATAGCCAAGCCTACATTTATTTTGACTTTGAAACAATGTACGAAAATGGTAAGCATACCGCTAATTACATATGTGCAGTTTCGCAATCTGGTGAAGAATTCACAGCCAAAGGTATCGACTGTGTGGACCTTATGGTCAAACATTTCAGATGTCCAAAATTTGCTGATTTTACATTTATCGCACACAATTCTTCGGGTTTCGATTCTTTTATATTGCTCGAGTATTTCACAAGTCAGGGCTTAACGCCAAAAATTATACTCCAAGGATGTAGACTTGTTTATATGTACGATCAGGCATTTAAACAGAGATACATTGACAGTTATAGCTTCTTGCCTATGAAATTGTCAAAAATGACATCTGCTTTAAACTTAAACACCAGCGAAAAAGGCTACTTTCCCCATAATTTTAACCGTTCGCAGAATGTGAATTATTTAGGACCGTATCCGTGTAAAGAACATTATGGCTACCAGACAATGTCTGACACTGACAGAATGAAATTTGACTCGTGGTACGAGAGTGTAGCGGGGGAGGTGTTTGACTTCAAAAAACAACTCGGGATGTACTGCAAGAACGATGTTGTTTTGTTACGTGAGGCTTGCATGAAATATCGAGTGTACAAACGTGGACCCGTTCGGATGTAACAACACAAAAATGCTTATATCGATCAGTACAAAGTTTACTCAAATCCTTCCATCCAATGGCTCGAATACATTAAAGCTAGCAGAAACGTCGACGTTCAACATGCGTTAAATTACGGCAAAGCCAAATTCGGACCGTATCATGTGGATTGCTGTTATGAAGTTGATAACGGTGATAGAATAGCCTTGGAATTTTTAGGTTGTTTCTGGCATGGACACGATTGTCGTTTTAAT